AGGTATGTTCTAGGATACCTCCTTCGAAAAAGCGTGTCGGGCTTTGTTTAATTTCGCTTCAGTTTCAAAGTTATGGCCTCTTTTGTAGAAGGAAACGTCCGCATTAAAAATATCAAAGTTTAGGAGAGTGTAGAAAAAAAAACCAAACCACATCTGGAAAATCGCAGACACGATTTTTGAGGGTGATGAGTGAGAGAACATTTCCGATGTAAATCGCGCCGCTCCGATAATTCACACGCGGAAGCGAACCAGTTAAGCGAAGCAGTGTTTCTGAGTATTTCTTTTATATCACTGCGACAATAATTTTTTAGAAAATGTCAAAGATATGATTGTATTCTATAACTATTAAGCTTTAAGAAAATGTATAGGTTGATGGGGTTTTCTTTCAAAGCTTCAAAGCGCCAGCACAAGAGCGCGATTTCCAAACACTGTCAATCCACCTACCATGATACCTTAAAACTTTATTACATCTTGTGAAAACGATCTATCATGAGTTTACCGAACTGTAAAATGAGTTGAGAAAACTAGTAATGGAACTAAATACGATGTTTTACAGCGACTGTGGTCGGCAATGAGTTTATATGAGTTCCTTATTCAAGATGTCAAAATCCTTACCTAAATTACTTTCCGCTCGATTGGACGTCATTATCCAACTGCCGTAGTAAGACAACAGTGCGAATGTTAACAGTATGAGGAAATATTTTCCAGCTCCAAATTTCATCTTCATGGTTGGGCTTAAAAACTTGCTGTCAGAGTAATCAATGTAATCTTGTAATTACATTTACTCGTCACGGTTTAGTTGATTTACAGCATGTCACGTGTTGTTGGTGTTTCAGTTTAGGCCAATGAGAGATCAAGAAGAGGCATTAGCATTATTTCTGTCAATCAAGGACTTTTTGATGCTCAATCGCTTTCTGTAAGGTGTTGCTGGTGTTTTAGATTAGTCCAACGAGACTGAGAAGCCATTTGAATCCCATCCTGCCAATCAAGGTTTTTCTGATGTTTCTATAGCAACTGCGTTTTCAATGGCTTTTTTTCACCGCAACATTTACGATATTATATTTCAATAGTAGATTTTTCACTTTAAAAGGTTTCAAAGTTTTTTCACACATCAACGTTTCATCTCTGTCCATTAACTGTATTCCCGGAATATAATTAATGGACTGAGATGAATTCCGCGCAAATCATGATTTTGCTGTTTGTTAGGTTAGGTCGTAAGAAATTGTTTCTTTCGTTATTTAGGTAGAATACGATATCTGCGAAAATCAGATTTTTACTTTTGATCTTTTTTTGTTTGTTTGTTTGTTTGTCTTTTTCGCTCCTTTCGCTCAGGAAGTGAATGTTAATTTTGTAACCGGCATAAGTTCTTGCTTTCTTTACCAGCGCGTTAGTGAATAAGTATGTCCGGCTGAACGTGGCTCTAGTGTGTTTATCGACGTTTGGCGCCTTTTCAGTGCTTTTGCTCCTCAACTTTTCGAGAAAGACAAGGAGAGGTAGATTTTTGGGGGAGCGGCGATGGGGATTGTTGCTAGGATGGTGAGGTGGAGGATCAAAAGAGAGAGGTAGACGGGGTTATTTCAAATCATAAACCAGCCAGCGTTCCACAGGGAGGAGAAGATTCATATTTGTCAGTATATTCAGCTATGTAAGTGATGAATCTAAGTGTTACGGTGAGCATCTGTTGAAGTTCACTGCTTATATATGGAGTATTTACTCGCGTACCCCCATTCTCTATCGTATAACCAAATACGGAAATGTATGATCAGCGCTCAACCTTGCTTACGGCGGCTCCCTGCAGTACCTAGGGCAGTTAACACCGTACTCTCTTACCGAGACGAGAATTCTGAGATTATTCTTTCTCACTTTTTGTAGGCCCTATTAAACAAGTTTTCATTTATTAATTTTAAAATTTTAATTTAAATTGTTTTAGCTATATATTTAGTTTATTAGAATTCTAGGTTTTTTTTATGTTAATTCATATCGTATATATTTTTTTAATTTGTATTTTTTATCTCCTCATTTTCGGAACAGCCATTGTTTTCCTGCTTATAATTTCGCCTTTATAAGGAATTGTCTCTGGGCTCGCGAAGCAGAACGGCTAGTCTTTCGAAGATTGTTTCAAAAGCTTTTTCACAGGACCAAGATATTCGTAGCCGAACATTTCAAAGTCATTGCGATACTGCTCTCCTAAGCGATTTATATACTTCAGGGGAACTGTTGAATAATACTTCAACACTTCAGATGGACCGGTTGATTTATGGATTGGCGGGAAAGTTACGCGGCCGTCAATTCCCGCCATTTGCAGCAACAAAGCCGCGTCCTTCTTTAAGGTCTCTAAGTGACCAATGAAATCGTAGTCAATAACACACTGGTGACAGAGTTTTTTATATTGTCGCCAGTGCTGATTGCGTGACATATTGTCGGAAAAATACTGAATGAACTCTTTGAATTTAACGAAATTTTTTCCCTCTGGCTTAAAATCTTGAGGTCGAAGAGCTTGTACTATTTCTTTACGGAGGTCTTTGGTGTAGCTGGGAATTTGTAGAAACTTTTTCTTGTCGGCTGAAAGTAAGCGTTGTAGTGGTTCACGAACGAAGACCAATTTAAAATGAATTGTAAGTCGTTCGTTCCTTTCTTTCTCAGTGTAATTGCTTAAACGTTTACACATAATCCAGCGGTTGATTCCTGGCTAAATTTCGCGAGATTTTGCTATCACTCTTTTCCGTGTTGTCTTCAAGTTTCTACCTTCGGGACGACACAGTAGATGAGTTTTGAGTCATCGATCCGAGGCTTTCGGATCAAAACTACAAATTTTTTAAGTTTCCTTTGTCTTTCAATTTCCAAAAGAGACTTGGATACAAAGAAAACACCACCATGAGAGTCAAGCCAGTCAACTGTTTTGTGTCAGTTATCTGTTCAAATTTACTAATGTAGACTACTTTGATAATATTATGACGAAATTCATTGTCAATAACAGGATAGACGGGTGAAAAACGGACGTCAATTTGTTGTTTACAATAACGAATTATTAAACTGTCCGCTTTCGCTCGTTCATAAATTATAAATTCATGTGTCTGTCCTCTTACTGACAGTGAAAATTAACTAATGAGCGCGAGAGAATTTCTGCAGTTATTGCAAAAACATGTTTTGTTTTTACTTATGAGTGGATGACCAAGTGGCGTGACTTTTGCACGGCAATTGGGTAGCGTGATAGTACAACACCAAAGTACAAAATGCATATTACTTTTGACACTTACGTGAAAATCGTTCTGTCACCGGGCTTAATGTATACAAACAACGTACAATAGAAAATTTGAAGTGAAAACAATCACTGTGATTCACGTTCTCACAAAACCCAGAATTTGCTGAATTCAGGTCCATTGCTTTTTAAACATTTTTTTTATTATTTCAAATAGTCGTGCATACTTCGCATCATTATGGGATCATTTTGAAGACTTTTTTATCGCCTCGAGGACAAAGCGTTTCTTTGTTGCTTTGCTTCTTTTTACTGACAAAGTAAACGCGTCATAGAGCTCAAAAAGCGAGTGGTTTTCTTGTAGTGAGCATGTGGGAAGTTGCTTAGCAAGGTTTTTTTTCTGCTTGCATGGAAACATGCTAAGTTCTCGTTCCACTTCCAACTGAATAACACGGATATTTATTGTTACAAACAGACTGGGCTCCACTCAAACCCAGTCTCTTGAGGTGTTCTTGCTGACATCATTGCATAACGCTTTTTCTCGCGACCCGAAAGTTTGCGTGACGATCTTGAACAACAACAACAACAACAGCATTTATTTATACCAAAAAGGAAATAAATTTTGAAAACTTTTTCACTGCCTCACTTACATTGCGAGCTTTTATCTTGTCTACAGCTTCTACGATTTATGAATTCAGTTCTCATCAACAGACGTTCTTCCTGTTATTTTTTTTTTTTTTCCTCGTTAGATGCCAATGGTACTCTTCAAAAAATGGCGGTCTTTTTGTGCACGCACTTTATCAACCAAAAAATTATCAATCCAGGTACGTTGCAAGCAACAGCTTATTCTCAATTCACTTGGTCGTCTTTCTCCTTTTCTGACATGTTGCCTCGGTATTTCCCGTGCTCCCGTGCTCCCATGTTTCCATACCCCAAGCTCTCTGATCAGCATGCTCCCATGTTCCCATGCGCCCGTGCTCCCATGCTCCCGTGCTCCCATGCTCCCACGCTCCCATGCTCCCATTCTCCCATACTCCCATGCTCCCATGCTCCCATGCTCCCATGCTCCATTCTCCCGTGCTCCCATGCTCCCATGCTCCCATACTCCCATGCTATCATGCTCCCATACTCCCATGCCTCCCTATTCCCATGCTCCCATGCCCACAAGCTCCCTGATTAACTTGCTTCCACGCTCCCATGCTCCCATGCTCCCATGCCCCCTTGTTCCAATGCTCACATGCTCCCATGCCCACAAGCTTCCTGATCAGCATGCTCCCTTGCTCCCATGCTCCCATACCCCCATGTTCCCATGCTCACATGCTCCCTTGCCCGCAAACTTCCTGATCAGCATGCTCCCTTGCTCCCATGTTACCATGCTTCCATACTCTATGCTTCTATGCTGTTATGCTACCATTCTTCCATTCCCCCAAGCTCCCATGTCCCCATGCTCCTATGCTCGCGTGCTGCTTTGATCCCGTGCCCCCATGCTCCCTAC